CATATTGCTATGCCCCTTTTGTTAAATTTACTCTGATGAAAAAAATGTTTATAAGAGAAAATATTTATCATATCTTCTCTAACATCTTTTTCTTTCCATTTGATAATAACATATAAAGCCTAAGGATTGCTCCCTATTTATAAAATAAATTAGGGTAAAATCAAATTTTACAATGACTCCTATTCCTTAGTTTTACAAGAATAAAGTTTGTAACTAAAATTTTCTTCTGGGGAGCGGACCCTGGAAGGGGGGCCGCTTGCCTCCTTCCTACCCCACGATGACCTCATCGCAGAGGTCGTTTGCGATTAGCTTCGCAAAATGAAATAATTAAGTTCCACAACTTAACAATTGATAGTGTGATGAGAATCACATGAAGACACATGGATGATCACGAGAGAATTTATCACTCTTACTTAGCCCCTGTTTGGTAATGATTTAAATCCAAATTTTAATTTAAGTCAACGTCAACAATCAATTTTAACTACATATTTAATGGGTCTCACAATTTTATAACAATATATTTCATCAACTTTTATCAAAATCTACTAAAAATCTGATTTTAATCTATACCAAACAGGGGCTTAGTAAGATACTATGCCGTGGCATTCACGGAATTAGGTATCAATTACATAATTTTGCAGCTGAGGGAGTTATGAATTCAAAGGGTGTATCAAATAAAATTCGTTAAATCGATCACTTAAGTGATGACGAACATTTTTGGTGAACTGGGATTGACACCTATGGGGACATATTTGATAATGCATTTTATTTCATGCTAATCGGATATTTAAGTTCGTGTCATACCACATGACATGACACTTTGCATAGGTGTCTTGACACATAGACATATGACAAGCTTAAATTAATAAACGTTGATGAAGTAATTGGTCTGATTAATTGATAAATTGAATGAGTCAACATGATGAGGAACCTAATGAATCATACTTGAAGGATGGACTCCTAGCGTATGTTTGGTAAGTCTTTATAAACCGTCTATAAAAGGTCAAAAAGGGGTCAAACCAATTTTCGTACTTCGTGGGATCCTTAAATATTATCCACCAATCATTTCTATAAATTATAAACAAAAACTGTGCAGCAGCCTTCGACATGTTCCACAGTATCACTGCGTTAACAAGGAAAAAGAAAGAATGAAAGCAGAAGCAACCCTGGAGAATTTAGATTCCGAATCAGTCAACACGAAAGGTTGCGCTTTTGGCTTTATAGTTGCTAAAATCCCCAAACAAGCTTGTTAAGTAGACCAGAAATGAAAGGCATAAAAAGAAGCACACAACCCCATTACTTTCGGTCTTTAGAAGATACAACTGGAAGATCTTTTCTCTAGTAATTTTAGAGGATGCAAATGCAGCTAGATGAAACTGTTGAGTGATTCCCGATAAATGAATTTGATTAAAGTAGAGAATACAAAAACATGAGAAAATTAACGTGATTCAATCAATATAGTTATGATCGTAAGTAGATAGAATTTTAAAACTATGAAACCTCACATAGGCATTACATGAAAAGCAGAGAGCCCAATGTGGCATGTCTGGTATAACTAGTCGACAAATTTAATACCCACATGGAATGTTTGCTATGCTGGATTAGACTTCAAAATCTTAACTAGAGATGGCAGCGGGGTGGGTTCTGGGCGAGGCACCCCCGCCTTAGAAGAGGTACAAATTCAAAATTTTAAAATCCAAAGCAAATAATGTTTAAATTAACTATATCAATATCCAAAGTAAGCACTCGAAACAAACAATATCCAAAACAATTTTTTTTTATTCTTCACGGGGTGGGTTCGGTACCCTGCCCGCCGTCCCCCCAACCCGTCGGGGCAGGGCGGCGGTGGGCGGGTTTTTTTGCCATCTAATCTTAACCGTTATCATGTATAATGTATCAAACATGCATATGCGGAGGTGAAGAGCAGGATTACTGCCGGCCAGCAATTCATCCTTGCTCTACTGCAGTCTCCTACTACTCATTCAATGCACTAAAATTATCCCAAGTATAGAGCTAGCTATAAATCTTATCTGTGAAGGTGAAGAGCAGCCCGAGGTGTGAATAACAATGTTTTGGCCCTGTCAACTAATCGAAGCCTCAGCTGCACTGAATAATTTAGGGGCAATGTTTGATACCCAAATGTCCTTTGACTTAGCCAGCCATAGATGCCTTGTAAAGGAATACATTGGAAAGCAATTTATATCATTTTCTGTCTGTGCCAGAATAAGGCTTCGAACGAAAACCCAAGCTTGAAAATTTATTAGTTCTTAGCTACATACAGCAGAATTTGCTGATCATGGATTTGGTCAGGCCTAACTGTGCACTAATCTGAAAAAATTTTAGCAGCAAAAAAAAAAAAAAAGGAAAAAGAAAGCAAGTGCGTAAAACTCAACTAGATCAATACACCATGAACGCAAATATTAATCAACTAAGAAAAACTTATCTAAATCAATGAGGATTAACACAGAAAGACTAATCAGACAAGCAAATGGGAATTGAGATTTGAGCGAGAAGTAGTGAAGACTCGATGCCTGCAAATGAAGTGAGTTCATACAAACATTACATTTGTTTGGTATATTCTCTTAAAGAAAGAACTGTTTGGTATTTAGTTGGTATTTTGAGTATCCAAAACACGATTAGTTGAAACATAATGAGAGTGTTTGTTAGTAAAGGCAATTGACATGAAAGATTAATCTGTTGAAAGTTAGGAAAATGGAGCACAAGTATACATTACATGCCTATAATTTACTAACCACAATCTAATCTTCAACCATTTTTTTGTTTTTTCACCAAAATATTTATTAACTTCATATTTGGCCTACTTAAACTCGTACTCTGAACACAAATTTCGAAATTTTGTGAAGGAAAGTAGTGAAGTAATGGCTGGTGGAGCAGACTTAACACACACTCCTACAACCAAAGTCACCATGGATCATAATTCAGTACTCAATGGAGACATTGATGCAAGAACTTTACTGGTGGCTCCAAAATCTGCTGATGGAGAATCCAATCGAAGGCCTCGTGGCAGGCCAGTTGGATCCAAGAACAAGCCCAAGCCACCAATCGTGATCACTAGGGACAGTGCCAACGCACTAAAAGCACACGCCATGGAGGTAGCATCAGGCTGTGATGTGAATGAAAGCTTACTAAACTTCGCGCACAGGAAACAATGTGGCATATGCGTGCTTAGTGCGACAGGGTGTGTAACCAACGTCACCCTTCACCAGCCTTCCTCATCGGGATCAATTGTAACACTCCATGGAAGATTCGAGATTCTCTCATTGCTTGGATCAATTCTGCCACCACCGGCTCCACCAGGAGTCACGGGCCTAACAATCTACCTAACAGGGACTCAAGGGCAGGTTGTGGGGGGCAATGTGGTAGGGGCACTAGTTGCATCTGGCCCTGTAGTCATAATGGCTGCAACATTTATGAATGCTACATTCAATCGATTGCCTTTCGACGAAGATGAAATGGTTTCTTCGGCAAATCAGAATCAGCATTATCAAAATAATAGGCAGCATCACCATATCGATGTTTCAGATGTATACGGGATTCCACAGAATTTGCTTATAAGTCGAACTTTGCCATCTGAGGTGTATTCGTGGGCACCAGGTCGGACTCTGTCGAAGTCTTAGATTTATATCTAATGATGATAAAGAGCTAGCTATGCTGGAATTCTGAAGTATAATTCAGTAGCAAATATGATAAAAATTGTTTACGTCTCATTTTTTTCATTTATTTTACTAAAATTACTTGTTAAAGGGAAGTGAAGAACAACAGCTATAACTACAATATTTTTCTGGTTCAATAGCAATGCCAAATATTTTATATTTTAGTCCTTTTTATACAAGACTCAAGAATTGTTGTGATTTGAGCAACAATAATATTGATGAAGAATATGAAATCGACAAAGAATTAAGAACACAGATTTAAGTTGTCCGTTCAGTGCACTCCGCTCCTCTCACTCCACTTCACTCCTCTCTGCTCCAACATCGACCATTCGATCTATTTAATCTAATAAATATGTGTTCCACTTTCTATGAGCCACATTTTACAACAAGAACTGCATAAAAAAAACAATAGATTAATCGAGAACTCAACAATCTAGAATTTGACTGCTATATCATATTAAACAAATTGCATGATTCGAAGAATCTTTGACAATAATATTCTTTGACATTAATAATATAAGAAACAAAAAAAATTATTCTGACTGAATTAAAATGCGTTAGATTTCCAGCAGTTTATGGACTAGTTCGGCTACACGGTAATTTCTCTGAGATAAAGGATTCTTGTTTTGAGGAACACCGTGGCAAGAATGTCACCCAGTTGATGTATCAGTACTGCAATGCTCTAACTGTATTTCTCATTTCTTGATTGCTTCTCTAATAAAGTGATAATTGATTGCAATGTGGCTTTTACGATCATGGACAATTGGATTTTTACACATGGCTTTCGTAGACTTGTCACAGAACAGTATCTTAAAGAATTCTTTTCTGGACTGCTTGAAAGGTAGCTTTAACTGCTGCAACATCGTCAACTTTAGCAGAAGATTGGGCCACCATACTTTGTTTGACTGAAAACTAACAAATCCCGTTATCCTTAAGAGAATGATTTTTACGACTGCTAATTGCTAAAGACCTATTCATTTATAACAATGACCATATCCTCAGCAGGAGAAGAAACATCATAAAAATAATTTTACATCAAATTTAACATAAATGTTGGGAGGAGATCACACTAATTAGCCCAAACACAACAAAATATATGTGCTAAAGTTAACAATACCAAACTGAAAATAACAACACAAAGGAACTGAAATAAGAACTTCAAGAAACCGAAATCTGAATACTATAAGAAACTGAAAATATAAAGCACAATAGACTGTAAAAGGCACTTATCTTTCATTCAAGCCCACAGGCCAAAGTTTATACAGATCGATGCTTCAATCTCACAAGAATAACCACTGTTATGCTCGAATCAAAACCCAAAAGTAAGAATACAAAGATAGCACTCAGTCTAGACCGTTTATTACGCAAAATAGGAGAACCCTCTTTGCAACACACGGTTCAAACAAGAATTGACACTCAACCAAATGAAATCACTAAAGATTACAACCATGAGTGAAGAAAAAGGGAAATCAAATGAGAAGACTTGATTTCAGCAGAAAGAAGAGAGGACTTAGAAACGGCGTAGCAAAACAGAGAGAAAAATGGAAGTCTCTTGAAGCCAGTCTAATGATTTCAAACCCTAGAATGGGCTTAAATGGGTCACTCAACAATTGCCCATCCAACGGTGTTGGAGGTGACACGTGGTGACTCCATTATCGTCCATTTTCATCAGGTAAGAGGAAACATGATTTCAAGCTGTCAAACACGTTTTGCACCATTTCATAAACCATAGAAAATTGGGCTGGACTTCAATTAATTCCAGCTGGGCCAATTCAATTAGGCCCAATGTCATTGCATCATTGTGCCACATTTTTTCTCTTCAATAAACACATCACTTTTATGTTTTATAACCACAACGGTGTATAAGAGTATAACTTTATGTGTTTGGGTTTGATTTTAACCTCCTTATAAGCAGATTATAATGAAAGAAAAGTCTCACAAAATGTGTGAATAATAAGTGAATAATGATTCTGAATGTGTGTCTAAAATTATAGTTTGACTTTGACTAAAAATTAACTGTAACTTATAATGTTTTGCAAACATAGATGCAAATCCTTGGTTTAGAGTAGGCAATTTGCCTAAATGGTCCAAACCTGTATTAACATTGGTGTTCTTGTGGATTGATCACATTCATTCACCATACTTTACATGTTCACTGCTGGCTCTCATTAATCTTACAGCAAGCAACTGGTTTTCAAAGTCTTAGTCTTACATGGTCCGGTTCGGTCAGATTTCTATGAGTTTTGGAAGTGAAACTGAAAACCTTTGAGAATTCTACACATGGGAAACAAATGTAAAATGGTGGAATTGAACTCTGACTGGACTAGAACTGGTCTGGTTTAATCCGACTAAATTCATTTGTACTTAAGAAAAAAATAGCTAGAACTGAAAATTAAATAGATGGTTCTGGATTTTCTGAACTATGTAGTTTGATTTGGTACAATTCAGATAGTTGCAAATAAAAATGCCCACCAGTTCAAACAACAGATAGGCAATTCGGCTGGTTGTCTCTCATTTGCTTCGATGTGTTCACATGGTCGAGGAAAACTTTGAAGGAACTATAACCAAAACTGTTAGTTTTTGTTTATGAAGAAACTATAACCAAAACTCTTCATCAAGCAATGTTTAATCAGGGAAATGATATGCAAAAATTGGCTTACTATTACTGTTCTAGCCTCATCTCTTCACTTAGTTAAGGATAATAAATTGAGTCGGAAAAGTGAAGAATCAATTGTCAATTTGTCTTTTTAAATAAAGCGCCTGATGAATCTTTCTGTAATTAAAATAATTTGACATTATTTGAATAAAAAAAGCTAAAAAATTTCTCACAACAATGGTTAAAAACCAAGAAAGAACATTGATTTTCACAAATATTCCATTCTTCATGTGACTAGGAATACCTGTCCATTTAAGTTCTCCTCCACAAGCAAGCATTATTCATTAACCATTTCACAAAGCTCCAACTGATATTGTGCCATTTTCAATGGGTTTAATCTTTCGCACTTGGATGAATACTGGATTTTGAGTCTCAAGAGACTGGCATAAGAAGAAGGGAGCTAAATGTAGCCAAGGGCAACTTGCCGGCTCAACTATCTGAGCGAGCAGCATTGCATTTGAGTTTTAACAATGCTGGCCGGCAAGTCATCCTTGGCTGCAGTCTGCTACCTCTTCCTTCATGCAAGGCTCTTTCAAGACGAAACATTAGAAAAATTGATAAGAGGCTCAGTACAGTTTTTGGCCTATGCAGCTCCTTATCCCTCTGCACACATAAAGAGAGGCTCAGATTGCATGTGATTATATGTTATTAATACTTGGAACTTTTTGAAGGGCCAATGGAACTTCAGTCCTCTCAAAGGGCAACCTAAATTTTCATTTATTATTGGAAGAATCAGAAGATTTGGACAAATGCCCAAAATAGATATCTTTCTTATCTGGTAAGTACGACATTTTTGGTCCGCCCCATGATTTGTGCACTCATTTTATTTTCTCTCTTTATGGTTTTGCTTTTTGGGAAACATGCAATGAACTGTGAAAGCATTGCAAAATTATATGCTTGTTGTGAAACGTAGATGATATTTGATAATTCCGATACCAACTTGTTGAAGATTACAAGAACACAAGAACAAAGTAATTTATAGAGAATAAAAATTTTATTATAATATGGAGAAAGAATACAAAGATTTTGTATATCTGATTTGTCTAACTTAATTTAAAATACAATGAAAAACTAAATATATATAGGGGACATCCAAATGCCTCAGAAGTAGAGTTATAGATGAAAAAAATGTTAAAAAACACATTAAAAATGCAAAATTAAACTAGACCTAGATAAGCTCACCGCTCAAGTGCCAGCCAAGCGGCCATCTCGCGATGGTGCTGCTCGAGGGTAGGTGAGCGCCAAGCGGATGGCGCTGGGGCGCTGTGTCTCAAATTAAATTTGATTTTCTCGACTCTTTTGCTCCTCAAAAGCTTCCTTGTCCATATTTTGACCTCTCTAAGTTCAACACAAATTTCTAACTCTTAATTAGGTTTCCAAATAAAATTTCAACTAGGATTTGTCAAATAGACTTCAAATATGATTCCAAAGTAGTATTCCAGAAATAGATTTCTTTTTAAGTCGACTTTAGTTAGAACTCCAAATTATCTTAAAAATAGAATTCAAATTACACCCTTATTCTAACAATGCTAGTAATATTACTTCATTGCGTTCTTATTCTCAACATTTCATTAATCAACTTATTTCCGTCCAAATTATCCCTTAGGAGGGCATAAGAGACCTATATTTTTTAAAGTTTGATAAAATATGTGTGCCCCATTTAAGAGTTACTACGATTCATCCTTCAAAGCAAAAACATACTCAAAATTAGCACAAACTCCAGCTAAATAACTAATAAAATTACATGATCAATGGCACAATTAAGTGTAAAATCTATAATTATGAAACATTCCCAGATTACGATTTACTAGTCCTCGAGAAATGCTATTTTATCTTCTCAAATCAGATTTCGGTATGTCGAATGATGTTTCGATTTCACGCATATTAACGGCATGCTCTTGATGAATATATTAAGCACATTATCTGTGTAATATCTCCTACATGAATTGTCTAACTTAATCTTAAATACAATGAAAAACTAAATATATATAGGGGACATCCAATTGCCTCAAAAGTAGAGTTATAGATGAAAAAAAATGTTAAAACACATTAAAAACGCAAAATTAAACTGGACCTAGATAAGCCCACCGCTCAAGCGCTAGACAAGCGGCCATCTCGCGATGGTGCTGCTCGAGGGTAGGTGAGCGCCAAGGGGATGGCGCTAGGGAGGCGTTGTGTCTCGGGTTAAATTTGATTTTCTCGACTCTTTTGCTCCTCAAAAGCTTCCTTGTCCATATTTTGACCTATCTAAGTCCAACACAAATTCCCAATTCTTAATTGGGTTTCCAAATAAAATTTCAACTAGGAT